TGTTTGGGTCTCCAGGAACAGCTGCTGCGCGTCTTTCACGTCCGATTGGTGGTGTGCTTCCGCAGCGATATTGAACACTTCGTGGCTGCCTCTCAGCGAATAGCCTGACAGTGTGTGCCTGTCTTTGTTTTTCCTGCTCTTGTGCAGCCAAGATGTYGGCRGTTAAGGAAGACGAGCTGCCGGCAGAAACCTCGGGGCGAGAGTTGAGGACCCCCAAGAAGTGGTCTCGTCTCGTGGAGACTAAATGGTTTGTCGACTGGTGTTGCGGGGATGTGTCGCATCCTGCGGACCCGCCGCGCGGTCCTGTCATTTTTTTGGAAGACAAAAAAGGGCGTCGACTGTTGGGTCCCGTTTCGGGCTGGCAGGAGGCGAAGAAAGAAGACGTCCACCACTTCCTCATGCCGGTCGTTTTCGGCTCGAAGGGTCACATTACTGAAAGTTCGAAGGGGGCTGACTTGAGTTGGTCCCTCTGTTAAGGCTTCGRCGCAGGAGCCGTGAACACCCCTTTCTACCGCGAACTTGCGGTGAGAGCCGCCGTGACGGCCCACGCGTTTTTCGACATGTTGTCAGAGAAGCGGGTCTTCCTGGACACCCCGTGCGATGTTCAAAGCGATTTGAAGTTGTCTCTACCCATTCAGCAGGGTGCCGGGGTGGGTTCTACTGGTGCAACAATGGGAGCGGAGGGTTCGGGGGTCGTGTGTTCGCGGGAGATGTCCCGTGCCGACAGTCGGGGGAATTTCGACACCGACGAAGAGGACGAGGCCCTGGTGGCCGTTGCCTCGCTTGCAACGCCGACTCGGGTCTTAGCGCTGCGTATTCAGGAGCGGCTCGCAGACTGTTCGCTTCGGGAGGAGTGGTCGACGCCCACCAAGGGTTCTCGTCCCGTGGCCGGTGAAGACGTTCGTCTTCAAGAAGTGGGGTGCGGTGGTGAGGAGGGCGTGAGACGAACTCAGGCAAAGTGTGGTGCAAGTTCGTGGGAGGAAAGTATTGAGGGAATGAAAAAAACGAAGACAAACACACCTCGATCCGCTGGACGTAAAAGGAAGGGCGCAGAGGGAGGAGGCGAGACGTCGGCAACAAAAAGGCCGTCTTCGAGCACTCGAGAATCAAGGGCCGCCGTTGTGTCCGAGGGGAGAGTCATCGATGTTGAGGCCGGTTATTTCTTGGAGTGGGACAGCGGCGTTCGGGCTAAAAGGGAATTTCTTATCAACCCGTGGCAGGTGCTCCCGATCGGACGGTAGGAGCCGTCGTACAACCAGCGTTCCCTCGATCCAGTGCTTACGCAGCGGATCGTGAGCGCTATAGCCAGGGCAGCCCATGATAAGTAGAGTTTGTACGAGCTGCCCACGTTGAAGCTGGCTCGCCGCAGCGGGCAGCACAACGCCGCAGCGGGCAACTTGTTGCTTGGGACCGAAGTCGCGGACAAGTACAACTTCGATAACTGGCCCGCCCGCATGGTGTACTTCTCCGACGACGACTTCGGTGGATACTTCATTGTCAGCTCAGAGGACAACAAGAAGGACCTCAAGGCCCCTCCTCRACAACTCAAACTCGCGATGCAAGATWTCCGCTGGTTTTGGCAGCAAAAGGGTTGCCCTAGAGCGGTCATGGGAAACCCGCGGGGGAAAGAGAAACGAGTGGAAGACTGGYGGGCGTTCTGCGCGGTTGCGCTCCACAAAACACCCTACACACACCTGTGGACTCTTGCCGACAGCAAGGAGGAGGAGGATGCGAAGAGGCAGAATGCAGCCCTTCAAAGTTTCTTCCCGCTGGTCATGGCTGGAGAAAAAGCTTGGCAGGACGAGATGNTCTCTCTCTCTCTCTCTCTCTCTCTCTCTCTCAATCTGCCAGAACTGCGAGCACATACAACCCGCATTCACGTGGCTTGCGTGAACCCTCCCTGGTAGGCCACTGCCGTGTTCACGGAATCCCGGGAGTTGCGGACAGGCACTTGATCTGTAGACAGGATTCCCGCGACTTGTGACGACGCAGCCCGACGATGACCGACATGGCGTCATTTGCCTGCAACAAACTCGCCGCAGGTGTGGAACGAGACAGCACAACATGAAACGGCACAGCACCCGACACAATCTCGACGGCTGCATGGCTGAAGTCCGCCAGCATCCGGACTTCATCCCGGCAGCGTGGAACACAGGGCACCTGTATGACAGCATCCAAGTCCTGAAGGCGGCGCCGCCGAACGCACTCGCCCCCGAGGGCTTCAGGCCGCATAGAGTACTGCTTTGTTTTTTCTCGCAGTGCCGCAGTGACAAGTCGGGATGCCGGCGGACTTCGATGGCTGCATGGCTGAAGTCCGCCGGCATCCAGACTTCATCCCGGCAGCGTGCAACACAGGGCACCTGTATGACAGCATCCAAGTCTTGAAGGCGGCGCCGCGGAAAGCACTCACCCCCGAGGGCTTCAGGCCGCATAGAGTGCTGCTTTGTTTTTTCTCGCAGTGCCGCAATGACAAGTCCGGATGCCGGCGGACTTTGACGCACAACACGAATCGTCCTCCAGCAGTCGCTTGCGCTAGTTTGGTTTATCTGCTTGTTCTTACCTTCTTCTTTTTCCTTTTTTGCTTCTAATATCCTTTTCCTGGTTTTGTCCCTTCTGTGGCCGTGCGTTGAGGCATGATGTGAATGACTGATTGGCTGGCACGGCATGTGTGTTGCTCATCATAGGGTTCTTGGTCGTTGGTGCTACGTGCACTATATACACAATCCGCTCCCGCCGCCTCCATGTGTGAAGTTCGCCGGTATCCGGACTTCAGCCCAGCAGCGCGAAACAAAGCGCATCCGAGCGGGCCAGCGCCGCCAGGCAGTCTGACCACAGGCAAGCCGCATTGTCGCACCGTGTGTGAAGTTCGGATGCTGGCGTACTTCGTCCCGCCGCATCCCGGATGCCGGCGGAGTTCGGGAATGAGACTCGGTGCCAGAGACTCGGTGCCGGATACTCTGCCATAATTCCGTCACCGTTGCCCGCACTGCTGCGCATAGTTCGGAAGCCGGCCGAGTTCGTGAATGAAAGTCAGTGCGAGAGACTCATTGTATGAGCCTCTAACAGCGGCTCCGTCCTTTGTGTCACTATTTTTGCGCTAGCCACCGGACCACCTTCGTTCAGGGCCAGACAGCAGGTCGCTCGCGCGGACRGTCGCCTGGTTCACTCTCGCCGTTTATCATAACTCTCCC